TATGTATGTATCATGCAAACCAGTTGGAAAGAAAAATCGACTCTTGCAAAGAAAAGAAAATAAGAAAATATTTTACCCGTTTCATTCATTTCGTTCCTCTTACTTTTCTTTTCTCCTTTTCTTTTTCCTTTTATCTAAACGATTTACCTAGACAATTTGAACGAGTCCTTGGTCGAAGAACGACGAAAGAAAAGAAAAGAAAAAAAAAAAAAAAAGAAAACAAAAAGATATATTATCTATCCGAGACAAGAATTAACATCTGCCGGGAGAAGAAAAGGGGAGAAAAAAACGTAGAATTTTATTTTTTAATCCTCGACCGCTATGTAGAAGAAATAAAACAAAAAGAAAAAAAGAAAAAAGAAGAAAAAAAAAAAGATAAAAGAAGAGAACAAAAGAAAAGAGTGGACAATATAAAAGGACAAAAAGAAAAGAAGGAAAAGAAAAAGAAGAATAAAAAAATAAATCGGTGAGGAGAAATTTAAAAAATCGTCGTAACTTTTCGCGCTACGCTAAACCGTGTCTCCGCCCTTTGGTGAACCCTCTCTCCTCCTCTCCCTCATTCTCTCGTTCTCTCACAAAGTCCAGAACCAAGAGTAGAGATTTACGAGCGAAACGATCTTCCGTGATTCGATGATCCCAGAGAAACGTGTTCGTTCGTGTCAACGATGGACGATCTCGAGCGCACTTTCGAATCTCGTTTACCTCGTAAATTCGTATCGAGAGACGGTCGAACGTTTTTTTCCACCTTCCCCCTTTCGCACCTTTTCTCTCTCACTCACTGTCTTTTTGTTTTATTTTTCTTTTTTTTTCTTCCTTTTTTTTCTTTTTTTTTTTTAAACGCTAGGTGCCACTCCCCGTGCTCTCTCACCTTTTTTTTCTCCGCCCTTTCCTCCCCAACCCCCTGCCCGCCCCACCACCGCGTCAATATTTTTTTCGTTCACACTCAAGAGAACGCAGTCCGAGCGCATTTTATCAACCAAACGTATACTGCATATAACGTTTTCCACCACTCTCTGTCACACTGTTTCAATCTATCTATCTATCTATCTATCTATCTATCTATCTATCTATCTATCTATCTATCTATCTATATATCTGTCTCACTATCTATCTATCTATCTATCTACTTCTCTTTCTATCTAATGTCTCTTCTCCCGTCTCATTTGACCCTTCAAGATTCCATGTATATATATAAATATATATATATATATATATATATATATATATATTATAGCGAATTTTCTATACTCTATTTCTCTAACGCCATACGTTATTATATTATATATTTATATGTGTCTATGTATTCTGAATGTCAATATGTATCCATGTTGTTCAATTGGAAAGTTCTCGTAGAAAAAGGAAACGAAAAAAAAAAGAAAGAGAAAAATAAAATAATATAGAAACTAAAAAGAATAGAAAGTATGATGGAGGACTAAAATTATAGGAGGGAAAAAGAGAAATGAAAGAAAAAAAAAAGAAAAAAAGAAATGACAGAAAATTGAATAAAATAAAATAAAACGAAATAGAATAAAACGACGGAGAAAACAAAAATCATGGACAAAAAAAAAAATTAAAAAAAAGAAATAATGCAGAAAGAAAATGAATTCAGTCATTCATATCGAATTTGTTTTAACGTTAAATTATTAAGTTAATGTATTTCGTCTGTGTAATTAAATGCACACGCTCGTGGAGCGCGCGCGCGTGTGTGTGTGTGTGTGTGTCGCATGTCCCCGTATAATTGATTAATTAATTATTATTATTGTTAATCGGTGTACATCGGTGTACGTTATATGATCGTTTCTCCAAAATACGTGTCCTTTTGAGGATGTAGAGATGCATGCGGTTAACGATATACGATATGTATATGTATATGTATAAATATGTATATATATATATATATATATATACATATATATGTACATAATATATCTAGAGCTACTATTAGGTAGCACGTAGGAATCTATATATCTATATTCTGTTCTCTCTGTTTTCACCTCCTTCGTGTCCTCTTTCAGGCTCTGATTTTCTATCTCTTTGTCGGTATCTATCATCACCCTTGCATTGCGATTTAAAGGGACACACCTATTAGTCGTTCCTCTGTACATATGTATGTACATGTAGGCACTGTATACTCCAACACACAGTGTTACGTTTGCGAGGGAGTATGTAGTATACGTGAGAGCAGCTGTGCATATTTGTTATTCGCACGAAGTTCACTATAGTCCGTATATTTCAATGTTCCACGTATACGCATACATGGACACAGACGTACACGTACTAACATAGTATACATTAGATACAAACCTATCTACCGTCTATCTCTGTCGCTCTGTACATTATCGTTTACCGTTTCCAGCTCTCAGAAATGATCCAAGATACTCGTCAAACTATTCACGAATTCCTTTGAAAGATTTCCTGTGTAATAAAGGTATAGATTAGGGATCCTATACTTTGAGCATTTACTTTGAGCATCGTCGATGAACGTAATAGGGAATTGTCGTGAAAATGATCGAGACTCGTCTCGTTGTTTTTTTTTTTTTCTCTAAAGACATATATATACATACGTACATACACACACACACATATATATATATATATATATAATGTATATTGTATGTATATATAGAAAAGAGAGAAGATAATTTTAATCAAACTACTTACGTGACAAACAAGGAGCAATCGTTCGTGTATCACTCGAAAAGAAATTTATTCGTAGAAAATGGCTCGTCGGATATATTCAAACGTTACATTATTTATTTTGAAATGATATAACACGTGTATATTTTTCTTTTCTTTCTTTTTTCTTGATCTCGATCATTCGCGATCAGTCACGATCGATCGATAGTATATCATGAGATAAATTTTCACAAGGAAATTTTCATGTTATTCGAGTTTACTCAGTTGTTTCAACGAGGATCCCATGTGTTTTGCTCGTTATCGATTTAATTTCAATGTAAAACAATGATAGATGATAACTCACGATTAGGTTTTTCTTTCAATAGTTATTCATTCGTGCACAAAACGTTTACGATAAAATACGATTCCCCTTGTATTAACCTTCTCGTTAAAGATAATTTCATGCAAAATCGATATCATATACGTAAGTACGTATTTACGTATTTAATTTTATCCACGATGATAATCTATTTCGTTTTCGATTAATTCTCGTTAATTCGTTTCTATTGATAAAAATAATCCGAAGGAAAAGATTTACCATATCTATCTCTGTTAGTTAAAAAAACGCACGCAAAAAGAAAGAAAAAAAAAGAAAAAAGAAAACGTCGGTTTTTAATCAAAGCCACGTTATTCCATTTAATCTATCTCGCTTCGATGAAAATTGAGAGTACGAGTAATCTAAATGAATGTTTCATGAGTTAATACGGATACGATCTATCGTACTTGAATAATTTATAATGTCAAAACATTTCAAATAATTCGTTGGACACACGATTTAAGGACAATTTCGCGAGGTCGTACCGTTGAAAAGAAGGATAGTATATGCGACAGGAGGGGGAGGGGGAAACAGGTTATTTGGACTCGTCAGAAAGTACATACATATACAAGCACATTCCATTTGGCGGCCGATCAAAGAGCAACAGATACTACTAAAATCCAAACGAAACGATCTTTTTTTCAACGATGCTGGAAAAAAAGAAATAAAAAACTACACAGACAGAGAGAGAGAGAGAGAGAGAGAGAGAGAGAGAGAGAGAGAGAGGAGGGGGGTTGAGATACGAAAAAAGAGATTTTCTATCCTCCGATTCGATTCAGTCACTCGTATCATCCTTTTTTTTTTTTTTAAGCTTTGATGACGTTTAATTTTACAATCTCTCGTTGCTCTCGCATGTCATACGTGAAAATTTCATTACGATAGGTCGTCCGACCTTTAAAAGAAAGTGGCTATGATAAGTGTTTAGAAAAAAAAAAAAAAAAAAAAAGAAAGGAAGAAAAAAATAAAGGCAAACAAAAAAAAATCTTCTCGATATTATTATCTTTATGTTATTCGTTTTAACGACGATCAAAGAGAAATCGTAAAGAATAAGAAAGAAAAAGAAATTTCAATTCCGATGATTGTGTCACGTTTGAATTTCACCGACGAGCCGGCAACTTCGCGAATGTTAAATTGCTCTCTTTCACGACATCTTCACCTTGTACGTAAATACATACATACATACATACATACATACATACATACATACATACATACATACATACATGCATACATACATTGATACATAGATACATACATGGAAGCTGCACGAACTTTTCTCCTCTTAGTTTCGCATGTTAAATCGAGTAACGTTAGGCGAGTAACATCGAAAAAAGATCAACAAAAGATACCACTTTTATTTCTATTTTACGACCAAACGAAAACCACTTTCGCGAAAAGGAAAGGGAAGGGAATTTAAGTGGCGATCGAATTAAAAATCAATAGACCAAGAACGTCGTCGTAAAAATGTTTGGCGTGGAACAACTTGCCGCCATTAATTCTTTATTTCGTGATTCGATTCTGTTGGCCAGCCAGCTAGGCAAAAAGAAAAAAGAGTGAAAGGAAAAAAAGAAGAACTAAAGGAACGATTTTCCGTTTGGTCATCGACTGGTACAACCATCTACAATTTGTACCGATTTCCTTATCGTAAATCAAAGAAGGAAAGAAGAAAAAGAATGAAAACGAAATAAATAAATAAATAAATAAATAAATAAATAAAAGATAAACAGGAAAAATAATCGTTTCTCCTTTTTATCTATGAAATCGCATGTCTTGTTCGAAAGTATGGATGTATTGTATTATAATATCTAATATGCTTTGTATATACATATATATATATATATATGTATATATGTATATATGTACATATGTAAATCATATATATAAAATGCATCCGTTTATGCATGAGCGCACGTTTTTCTAAAGTTTTAGAAGTTTACTATAATTATACTAATACGGTATGCCAATATTAGAATATACGCTCGTTTTAATCAAACTTTGACCTTGATAGCTCGATCTGGTCCTCGAGTCAGAGAAGGGAGGTGACTTGTCCGATTTCATCATGAACGGGGAATGGTACCTCATCGGTGAGTTCTCTATGGAGTAAAGTTTGCGGATAGCCAAAATCTCTATACATGAATAATTTCCGATAATTTCCAATCGTTCTCTATTTATGAAAGCGTCCAATTGAATGGGAAAGTGGAATGCGGGATAATGAACAAAAATATATATTTATTTCTTTACGATAATAACAATAAACGTTGAATTATTTGTTTGGAAACGAGGAACGAATTGTTTTTCTTTTCTTTATTTTTTTTTTTTCTTTTATAATAATTTTCTCTATCTATCTCCAGGTGTTGCATTTTTTACCTTTCTTTCTTTCTTTTTCTTTTTTTGTTCTTCATCCTCTTACTATCATTTATAAAAATAAAATAAGAGATCGTTTCTGTGAGATAAAACTTTTCTCTCTCTCTCTCTCTCTCTCTCTCTCCCTCTCGCTCTCGCTCGCACAGACAATAATTCGTTAATTCGAGTGACATCAATCATGAAGAGAGGAATGGCAGGATGAGGTGGAGCTTATTAACGCTGAGGTCAACGTAGCGTCGATATTGGCACAAGAATCGATTGAGAGTGACCGGTAGAGAAGGGAGAAAGAGGGAAGAGGGAAAAGTGAAGGGTGAGGAATGAGAGGGAGAGGAAGTGAACCCACGTGATGGTGGCTTTCCAACGGGAAGCATATATACCACGCGGAAAGCCCTCTTTTCCCTTTGTACGTCGAGATCAAAGCCCCTTGTCTCTCGTCCCTTCTATCCATACCCACTGTTCCTCTTCTCTTCCTTTATCTATCTGGCATTCGTACGATGCTAATGCACAGTTAATCCAAATGGTAATTTGCAAATCTGTTTGTCCGTTATTACGTCGAGCGCGAACGAGAAGATTGCTCGATGATTTTAGCCAGGAATCCATAGATGATCATATATACTGCTCGCATAATAGTACATATATACAGTACATACGTTCAAAGGGCCATATTTTGATGAATGTAATAATTACAAAAAAAATATGTACATATATATATATATTATATAGATGTAAATATAGTAATCGTTTACAATCGTTTGACGCAATAACAATTCACATATCTTCATGTTATTTGATAGACGATAAAACGGATAAACAGGGGATTTATTTCGTCGTAAGAGCAAGTTTAAAGATTATACCTTGTCACGCGTACATATTGGCATAGAGACGGCTTTTCGATCTGTCAACGGCAGAATATATCGCAGTCCATTATTCGAACTCTGTGTCAACGGTTGGACATCCTTGACCAAAGTCAAGTCGGCTTACATCCGACGTCCTTGACGTTTTAATTAAAATCGAAGTCAAATTTATCGGCGATTCCAACTTCGATCATCGATTCGAGTTTCGAATTCCTCGATCGAATGATCGTTTTCTTTTTTTCTTTTTCTTTTCCCTCTCTTTCTTCCGTATTATTATTATTATTTTCTTTTTATTTTTTTTTTTTTCTTATTTTTTTATACTTTTTTTTTCCTATTCGATCGTAATGATCGACAGAAAAATAGATCGGGAAAATTGTATTAATAAGATCTAAGGAAAAATCTCGAAGTCTTGCTTATAATAAATCGAATTTGCAAATAACAATGGCTATACTATTTGTGCTTATCGGAGAACCTTTTATTATTATTTCTTTTTTTTTTTTTCTTTTCTTTTCTTTTCTTTCCTTTTCTTTTTTATCGAACGAAACCACATAGAGATCGTTGCTCTCGATTGAATAGAAACCAAAGGAATTTATGATACCTTCTCGATGGTTGAAGCACCATGTATGCATTTATGTATGGTCATACCTTTACGAGAATATTTTCTTTCTCCGTCGTGAAAGTGAGCGCGTAACAACGTTCATGCATCGACGAATTTCGTTTACCATCTTTTCTTTTCTTCTCTCTGTCCCTTCCTATTCCTCCTCTGCCCTCTCTCTCTCTCTCTCTCTCTCTCTCTCTCCCTCTCTCCCGTTCACTTTTCAACCTTCGCGCAGTTATATATTTCCCTACGGTTGTGTCGATAATAACGACGAAATCGTGACTATCTTACCCTACTTTTATGACCTGGGAGAGTGAATGGGAAAGAAAAAAAGAAAAAAAGAAAAACCGAGGGAAAGATGAAAAACGAGAATCGAGAAAGTGTATAGGGATACTCCGAAATAGAACATTCGTTTATATAAAACGTCCTCGTTCCGATCGAAATTCCCCGATGGTGTAATATTCCTGAGCGTGAATGGATATAACCAAGGGAAATAGAGACAAGGGCTTTACGTTCCGTGACGTGAGAGGGTAAGATCACGAACGAATAAATCGAACGATTTGAAATCTTACAAATATGACGGGTACTTCCTCTCGTCTCCTTCTCTTCCTCCCTTTTTTTTGTCTCCCCTTTTTTCTTTTTTTCTTTTTGTTTGTTTATTTTTTTTTTTTTTTTCTAATCTCTCACGAAACCTCAGCGTCGGTCGTACAATTTCTCTCGAGGAGAGAGAAAGAAGAAAAAAGACAAAAAAAAGAAAAAGAAAAAACAAATGGAAGATCATCGTATGACATTTCTCGTAATATAAGATACGTTTGGAACATTGAAAATGTGACTGTTGACGATAAAACAATCTGACAGACAACAGCGAATGTATGTTGTTTGTTGTTGTTAATGTATAAATCGTGAGTTACGCTTTTTAATTTTATTGAGATTCATAATGATTTATGATCTCAATTCTCTCACGATAATTTGCAATTTCATTATGGATTATAATTATTCCCGTAACAAGAACTGCTACGTTCGTAGTATGTTCAGCATATATAAGAGAGAAAGAGAGAGAGAGAGAGAGAGAGAGAGAGAGAGAGAGAGAGAGAGAGAGAGAGAGAGAGAGAGAGAGAGAGAGAGAGAGAGAGAGAGAGAGAGAGAGAGAGAGAGAGAGAGAGAGTGAGATATGACGATCATTACTAAAACGAGAGATACGTATCGTGATATCGAAGAAAAGAAAAGAAAAGAAAAAACAAAAAAAAAAAGAAAAAAAAATCAAATAAATAAGAATTTGTCGAATGAAACAACAATCGGATATCTCTCGTTCGAGTCTTCATATCGAACCATTTCACTTTATTTATTCGATATATCGATATAAACTTTCTTAATTTCAGGTATGCCTGGACGAAAGAATACTATAGTATATAAGTGCTGTCCGGAGCCGTACGTCGACGTGACCTTCACGATACAGATACGCAGGCGAACGCTATACTATTTTTTCAACCTGATCGTGCCCTGCGTCCTGATATCGAGTATGGCCCTATTGGGTTTCACATTGCCGCCCGATTCCGGAGAGAAGCTCACCTTAGGTAACGTAACTCTTAGCATGCCTTGCCTGCCGCACTGAGCCTAATACATACACACGTGTATTATTATATCTATACTTTATTTATCCTTTTAATTCTTTCGTATATCCTTTTCTTATTATTATTATTATTATTATCATTATTATTATTATTATTATTATTATTATTATTATTATCATTATTATTATTATTATCATTATTACCATAATAATTATTATTATTACGATTATGATTATTATTATGATTATGATGATGATTTTATTATTATTATTATAATTATAATAATATAATAATAATAATTATTATTATTACTGCTATTATTAAATTTAAAGACTCTCTAGACGTCTATCTATCTCTATACTATTACTATTATTCTTATTACTATTACTACTACTACTACTACTACTACTACTACTACTACTACTACTACTATTACTATTACTACTATTACTATTACTACTATACTTATTACTATATTTATACGCGCCTATCGCCGTGTATGCGTATATGGACTTTTATATAGTACACGTTATATTGTATACCGGTATATGTACTTATCTTAATTACATCCGTCATTCGGTAACATATCCATCTTTCTCGTATAATCGTTTCTTTTCATTCATTACGTTCGTATTTTTCGCCTTTCTTTCTATCTCTATAACTCTCTCTCTATCTCTCTCTCTCTCTTTCTACTTATTTATCCATCTATCTATCTTTCTCTCTGTCTGTCTCTCTCTCTCTCTCTCTCTCTCTCTCTCTTTCTCTTTCTCTTTCTGTCTCTCTTTCTCTCTCTGTCTCTCTATTTTTCTATCTCTCTACCTCTACTCTCTCTTTTTCTCTCCGTACCACAGTTGACCGTCTTACTTACGTTCTTTTCGTTTCATATGATCCAGGCAAGAACTAACAAGGATATTGGTTATATCCTTTGTTTCCTACACATCGATCGATCGACCGATCGATTGTAAAGAAAGAAAAAAAGAAAAAAAAAACAAACAAACAAACAAAAACAAAAAGATAACACGTTCCCCCTTCTTCTCCTCTACTACTTTCTCTTCTTCTCGAAGAATTTTTCTCTTTGCCATTGAAACAAGGCAAGGATCTTCAAACGTACGATGTTTTTCTCCGTTCAATCGAACTGCTCGATCAAACTTCCTTTTGTCCTTCGAAGCAAAAACTATACGATAGATAGTAAGTGTATATATATATATATATATATATATATATATATATATATATATATATATGTACACGCACATTTTTATTATAGAAAATTGTATTTCCTTTGGTCCGTTCGTGCTTGCTCGCTTTCCCATTGGATTCGATGTGAAACGAAACCAAGAGAATATTTGTTTCTTTTTCCTTTTTTTTTATTTTTTTTTTTTTTCCATCTTTTCAAGAATCACAACAGAATATGCGAACGTAACGTGGAGGTAAGTTGAGATTTTTGTGGTTGAGGTTTGAGGTCGGGCATGGAGATTAAGTATTGGGATAAGGTTATCTAGATGTAACGTCACTCCTTACGAGATAATCTATATGATTTTCCTTGGGAATCTCTTTGGAAATTCTGAATTCGTCTTAATCGAGATCTTGAGAAACAAGAAATCGAATTTATCGTATCTTAAAATTCGCAAAACATATCTCCTTTTCCCCCCTATCTCATTTCTAATTCGACTTAGTATCGTTATGGTAGGTAATATTAGTTATTAGATTTTCTAATGGTACATCGTTCGTTATTCATAAAAAAATGAAAGAAAAAAAGGAGTCGATTAGAATCGTTCTGAATAAATTTCTTGGGTAGAATAGCAAAGAAACAAAATAAAAAAAAAAAATGAGAAAGAACGAAGGAAAAGAAGACAAAAATGATGAAGAAGAGGAAGGAGAAGAAGAAGAAGACGAAGAAGAAGAAGAAGAAGAAGAAGAATCATAAAAAGATGTACTTGCTTGAAACTTAATCCATCGCAAAAATGATAGAGGGATCACCTCTCGATATCATATCGTTTCATTTCATTATGCACGACAACGCCTACGATCCTTTTTCCCCTTTTTCTCTCTCTCTCTCTCTCTCTCTCTCTCTCTCTCTCTCTCTCTGTCTGTTTCTATATCTCTATCTTTCTTTTCCTCTCTCCTCTTCTCTTCTCTTCTCTACTCTAGACAAGAAGAGGGAAGAGGAGAGAGAAGGAAGAGATGTTTCTTCTCTCTCTCTCTCTCTTTCTCTTTCTCTTTGTCTGTCTTTCACGGACGCACACACACACACACACACACACACACACACACACACATACATACATACACACACATGCATACATCCATACACATAAACACATCCACTCTGTCTGGAAAGAGACCAGAGAGTGAAATTTCATATAGGGGTGGGGGAGGGAAATAAGGGAAGCATAATGATAAAGGTGAGAGAAAGAGAGAGAGGAGGAGGTAAGTTTAGAAAGGGGTGTTGTCATACTATATATATATATATATATATATATAGAATAGGATTTTTCGGAAAGAGATAAGCCGCGAAGAGCATTAGGGAAGCGTAGCGTAGCGCAAACGGAACTTTGTTTGCCCAGTGAGTTTGCGAGAGGAACGGTGACATGCTAATTTCTAAAGTAAATTAGTAGCCCCCGTTGAAAGTGCGGAACGCGGTTAAGCGTACTCCTACTCTTTCTCGTGAAACGAGAGAGTGGGGGGTGAGAAGGGGCTGGAGGTTGAGCGTAGGTGGTAAGGGGAAAAGGATGAAGGTGGGTGTAGGAAAGGGAGGAATAGTGGGATGAATTACCATTGACTTAACTTCTCATAAAGAAGGAAACTACTTTTCGTATTCTCGTTATTTTCTGTTTTTCTTTCTCGTTTTTTGTTGTTGTTGTTGTTGTTGGTTTTTTTTTCTTTTTCTTTTTCTTTTCCCGCGCAGATATACACATATATATATATTATGATCGACCACTCGCAATACCATTCGTATTCTGCATATTCTATTCTCTCTTTAAACCTTTTTAAATATCACTTAATTATATTTCGTAATCGAGGATCGAGTTATTCGCACGATCACAATTATATTTTTGATTTATCCCTGATATCCAATTCGCAATTTGTTTCGTATTTCTTTTTTCCTTTCTTTTTTTTCCTCCGCAAACTCATCCCTTTATTTTTCTCTTTCGTTCGCGACAATTTCAAAAATACATTAGTATTTACTTACGTGTCACCGTGTCACCGTTTGAAATTTGTACGATACGGAACGGTGAGAGGAACGAAAAAAAAAAAAGAAAAAATAAAAAAAACCGAGGAAAGAAAATAAGAACATTCCTATACTTTATCGTAAAATATATCTCTATCCTTGAGAATTTCTCTAGAATGCGAGGGTATGACGTTGGCCGAGTATAATTTACACTCGGCCATAGAACCAACAACCTTTAGCTTATGTTTCGCGCCACTACGGACATTATGGCGTTGGTTGCTTGAAGGGCGTAATACACGAATATATTAGTTTGACATGTATATATGAGATCCGTAAAATTCATCCCACTCATATATAGATCTTCCTTCCTTTCTCCTCTCTCTCTCTCTCTCTCTCTCTCTCTCTCTCTCTCTCTCTCTGTTTCTCTCATACGCAGATAGGTAATACCTATCTGCTGATATATCTATATACATAAATATGTCGACTTTATATTCACCAAAAGTTTATGAACCTTTACTAAAACAATATGGTTCTTGTTATCGTCGTCATTCTCATCGTTATCGTCTAAGAACGTAATGGAAAAGTGTATAAGCGATTTAAATGTACGTGTCTAAAGAAAGATAAGAAAATGTTAAACGTTTCGATAACGCTCGAAGAAATATTGTTAATTTCATCTCGCTTTTTCGTTTTTTTATTAACGTCGTGTAAATTTTATCTGGCATTTAATGCCGAAACAAATATCGTTGTGATTGACGAAATGATACGCGAGTTTTGCGAGATTAACCGAACGATAAAGTATCAAGCGAGTTTTATCGATCGAAAGAATTTTCCTTTCTTATTTTTATAATTCAAAATATTCTACGATTTATAGAATACAATGTTAAATGTGTATTTAATAGTGATTCGATCGTTCGATTTTATTTCTAGTAAATCGATATTCAAGAAGATGAACTCTCTCTCTCTCTCTCTCTCTCTCTCTCTCTTTCTTTGTACTTAATATTTTCTTGAAATTTCTTTCGAAAAGATTATAGTCTGAGATCTATCATAACTTTTCTCTATTTTCTTTGACTTTTATTTCTTTCTTTTATTTTTTTTTCCTCGTCCTTTCTTTCTTCATACAGTACGAAAGAAAACGAAAAATTGTTATTACTTAAAAGAAACGATACGACCGAAAACATCGTCGAGAAAGGAAGGTTTTGAACAAAATGGAATGTTCTTTCATTAATCTCAAACGTGTTCGTCGTACGAGGTAAAACTTTTCCGAAGGAGAAAAGCGAATTCATTGGAAATATTCGAAAAAGGATCTCTTTTCTCGATGTAAAAGAAAATTACGAAGCTTTACCTTTTCCTGATTTGTTCGGACGTTCTTTACGAGGGTCAATTAAGCTCACAGCAATTTAAATAAATGTCGAATTCGTTCTTATTAGACATAACATCGAATGGTCTCTTATCTAGATAAGTGGATTGATAACCGTCCAAGTTCGCTTAGTTAGTAAAAGAGAAGTTAAGGGATCACTCTCTCTCTCTCTCTCTCTCTCTCTTTTTTTTCTCTCAAGGAGATTTCGTTGAAATCAAATTCTATTCCTTACAGGACGAACGTTTTTCTGGATGGAGAACGAAACTACTGGGGATTTGATCTCACTCGATGTGCAATCCCATATATTCTCATTTTCGACGACTGACCCTTGTCTCGTTCTTCACTGATTCTTCTTCTTCTTCTTCGTCTTCATCTTCGTCTTCGTCTTTAACATTTAATGATACCCTTTCGTCGAGAAGCTTTTCTTCCACTAAAAACTAACTTCCACTCGAATCCATTTTGACTTGTCTATAT